AATAAACATTTTCTAACAAAAAGTGCAAAGTAACAAGTACAAAAAAAAGAAAAATGCATAAAGAACTTGTCTGGAGATTTTTCCATTTACACCACGTTATGTACGAGAAGCTGCAAAAGACACAGGCGCAAGTGGAATGTACAAAACATGGTGACATTAATTTTTAAGTAAATATAATGGGCGATATATTGCGTCACCAAAAATTATTGAGGTCATGTACATATATTGCGCGACAAGTCGTTATATTGATTATTGCGACAGGCCTAGTTTTTTTAAGAACTGTTCCTTTTTCATGGGCAGTAATTGTTTTTGCAGCCAAGACTTAAATGTATGTGCCTGTTGACTTGAAAAAAATGAACTGTATAAAAATGGTAAGAATACAAAAGTGATTAAACTAGTCCTGGTCGCCACTTTATTATTATTTTTCCTTTTTATCCTATAGTGTGCTCTAGAATGTTACAGATGGGTTAAACATATTAAGAATATTATTTTAAATTGGAATTTGGATATTGTAGTACTCCTTTGTAAATGCCATTTTTACATTATGCAATTTTTCAATAATGTCATCATGCAGCAGACGATTTCTTGGTTCTTAGCGTGTGAATGTGCTCGAAGAATTGAGGGAACTGATGGTTGACTGGAGAGAGATTTGATTTCTAATCTGCCTGGCTGGGCGAAACCATTGGTCAATAATGGATGAGAGCTTGTGAAATATTTAGAGTTTGGCCTAATTTAGCTTCCTCCCTTCCACCTTGTGTTGCTTCAGAAAAACAATGTGTCCACCGTCGTCTTTGTATCTGAGGTAGTTTTTGATAGAGTGTTGATGTTTACATCAAATATTGAGTCAAAAACTAGAATGGGTCAAGAGAAACTGCAGTAAAAAGCCATACATCATTTGTTATACCTTTGTCTATTTGTAAAAACAAAGTGCACATACAAAAGGGTCCTGATGATAGCACATGTAATATTACACCACAGTATTGTTGTACAGCTTAGATCAAGGGTTTTACGAAGGAGATACATTGGGCCTGGCAAATCTGTAAGCCATGCTGCTGAAGATATTTTTGTTGTAAGGGCACTGAGCTAGTGGTGCATAATGTAAATATGACATTGTTTGTAGAGTGATAACAGTGAAAGCCTAATACACTCAGTTCTTTTGTTTTAATGGGTCAAGACTGTGAACCTTAAATAATAGCAAAATGAGCCATCAAAAGCAATAAAATATTCACTGTCATTGTAAATGGATTGTGCAAGTCAGCCTTCTGTCAGATCTTTAATAGTTAGAGATGAACATCACTGCTCTTACAATATGTTTAAAATCACATCTGCCATTAACTCACGTGTTAATGGAAAAAAATCTATACAATATTATATTGTAACAAAAATTGTAACTGTACATTTATTTGCCAATTACATTATTATAACATACACACACACACACACACACACACACACGCACACACATATATAGAGAGAGAGAAAGAGAGAGAAAGAGAGAATGTCCATGATACAGTGTAATTATACAATTAATTACTGAATAATATTAATTTAGGTAACACTTTATTTAAATGTGTCTTTGTTACATGTACTTACTATTATAATAACAATTAATTATGCATAATTACATGCAAGTAACCCTAAACCAAACCAAATCCTTACCCTAACCATATAGTAAGTACATGTAGTTAATTAATATTACTCAGTACTTATATGTATAATTACACTGTAACAAGGACACCTTAAAATAAAGTGTAACC